AGGAACACCGGACGTTGTCGAAAGAAACGATGAAACGCGACCATTCACCTTCACGCACTGCATTCTGCCCGTCAAGTAACTGTGCAAGAACCCCGATGCAAGATCATCAAACCCAATGTAGCGAAGCATGGCATACATCATGTCATGATTGATAGTATCAAAAGCCTTTGAATAATCTAAGAGACACATCAAAGTCAATTTTCCTTGGTCTGTGCCTCGTATGATATCGTCCACAATATTCGATAGAGCTGTATTACAGCTATAATGCTTTCTAAAACCTGACTGTGTAGGCGGTAAAATGTTGTATTCCGTAACATAGTCCTTTAATTGAGATTCGACTACTCTTTCTGTAATTTTTGCCAATATCGGTAAAATGCTAATTGGACGAAGGTCTTTGAGGTGATCAACATTCGCTTTCTTTGGTAGAGGCAGAACCATGGACCTTTTCCAACAAGTGGGGAAATGACTTGCAGACAAGCACCCATTTATCAAATGTGTGATAAAAGGCAAAATATGAGGAGAACATAGTTGAATAAATTTAATGTTTAAACCATCGAGACCCGCCGAGTTATTTTTAATACTGTGTATGACGCGCATCATGTGCAGCACAGTTGTCTAAAGTTAAAAGAATATGACGATGTTGGGCAATCAACTTCTGATCTAGTTTGAGTAGCCATTCTCGAAACGCTTGAGCATCTATCCACGATGACACATGATGAGTATAATTACACGGTAAATGTGATTTATCAACGTTTTTAAAGCATCGTGGGTTACGCGATTTTCCTATTACCCACGCCTTGTACTTTTCAGATCCGTCCGAATTACAGCATAAAACCACAGTCACCCGTTGTTTACTTTTTGCACCTCCGTGACAACGTTCTCCTTTAATATGTAAGGTACGGTTGGTCATTAAGTTGTAAAAAATTCCGCTTTCATCCATATTAAACACATCTCGTGGGGCGTATGAATTTTTAACGGTTATAAAATTTGATAACCTCAAATTTACGGAGTTTTCGTCTACTTTTGCTGACTCACCGCACATTTGTAAACCAACCATGTTGTGACGTTGTTGGAAACGCCATAGCCATCCTGAAGAACCTTCAAAATTTTCAATTCCATATATCGCGGCAATTTTCTTAGCTTTATCCCGTAATATTGCTCCTGAAAGCGCTATGTTAGAAGCTCTCATATGATTAAACCATTCCAATAATTCATAT